ATTTTGCACTAAAATCCCTACAAGTTTTTGTTGTTGTGGTGGTGGTGGTGGTGTTCATTAGCTGGTTAGTTAGTTTGTTTTGTCTGTTTTTATGGATGAATCGAAATATCCGGAGATTGCTTTTAATTCTCATATCAGTTCTGTCACTTAAGGATCATGAAGAATGTTTAGGGTGAGAATAAATACCAGGGAATGGGATTGAAACTCTCCTTCATTGATGTACAGATTTAAACATTCATTAAAAAAAAAAAAAAAAAAAAAAAAAAAAAAAAAGCATAAATGTTAACCAGCAGCAAATAGAATGTTTTTGAGAATTCGTAGAATCAAACATGAAGAACACAATTTCCTACAGTCATCACTGAAAAGCAAAAGTTTATTTAGTGTAAGAGTATTATATATTATGCATTATGAGACAGATTTTTTTTTACTATAATAGTCTTCCATTCAAGACTGTCCACAAAGAAATACTTTTATGCAGAAGGTACTTGCTATTATCATACACACAGTACTACATTTCAGTCCCTTCATCTAATCACTAAGCTACATATGTACTGGGAAAATTACCTAGAGTGTTTACTGAGAGCAGAATGATTTATGTACAATCTTTATTCAGTTTATTTTCTCTAAAAGGCTTTGTTGTCTTTTTTTTTTTTTTTTCTCAAAAGTGTCCCATATTCTAAATAAAACAAATTCTGTAACAGTCAATCTGAGTGACTGTTCCTGCTTTTCATTCTACCAGTTCTCTTTATCCATAATAGTGTTTCTGAAGTAGCTTGTAATCTCCTTGCTCAATATCTATTTTCTGATTCTTAGATATATTACTCTCTTTTCAATTCCATGTTGGTTGTTTGTTTGTTGGTTACAGTTCTGCTTTTTGAACTGGGAATAATTGTCCAAATTTAACTTAGTATGTCTATGGTTATAATATTAAATGATCCTTTATTATTCAAGATCCCAGCTGCAAGTGAGTGACCCATGTATTTGGAGCTATTGGGTAACTACAGATGCTTACAAAAAAAAAAAGCATTTGCTAGCCAGCAAGGAAAGGCACTAAAAGCTTTGTACTCAATCCATGTGTTTTTTAGGCTTGGAATTGCAATGCATGTGACAAGTCATATGTTCAACCTGTCTGCAGGAGTTAATGTGTTTTGGGGAAATAAAGTAATTAGAAGTATATTAAACCAATATAGTGGGAAAGACAAACAGTTTTTCAATGCACTATATTTCTCAAAAGAGACAAAATTGTATTTATTCAATATAAGCAAATATGCTGAGATGTGTTTTGTCAGAGAAATTGTTTCAGGCTATTTACTTTGAGTGTAAAGGAGCTTTCTTAGAGTGAGTGCACTTTCTCCAAGACTATTCTTCTTTCCAATTTCAATAATAGCTAACTGCATTCAAAATACATTTTCATTACTTGTATCTGTTTATCAAAATGCAGATGATAAAATTGCTAGTAAATATAACTTTGTTTAAGAAAAAATAAGTAAATTTAGTCATACGTGCTGAAATGATCCATTATTTCTATAAACAGAGCCTATCTGATACCTCAGCAAGATCCTTGGCAAGCTCTGCATCCACATGTTAGAATTAGTCAGCTTGTTTTCCAGAGTTTGAACTCTGGCAGTGTAAAATCATTGGGTCTGTTATGTTCATATGAAAATCAGCCAGGAAAATTAAATTTACATAAGCATATTATTCTATCAATGTCCACCAACACCTATTTTGCCCATTCTTATATATGATCCAGACTACCAGTTCTGTTTTCACACATTTACAGATACTTGCTCAATCTCGTCAGTCTGCCTATCTCTAAAAATACATCTATTAACAAATAATGTGCCTGCTTTTTTTCTATTTACATAGGAACATAAAAATGCTAAGATCATTCCCTTCCGAAATTTTAATTCTGTTTTCCCAGTTTGGGAGTACACTGTGAAAACCTGAAGGGTCTTTACTGATGAACAATACCCCATTGTTCCTTCTTATTATGATGACATGTAAATCAACTGAAAACATCCCAGAAAAATAATGAACTCATTGGATGTATGAACTTCTCAGAGCACTTGATTGAGACAAAAAGCCTTTTTAATATTTTTAAGTAACCACTGTAGTTCATGAACACCATAATGAAAATAATAATAATAAATCATGTAATAGCTACTTGAACAGAAAGGTTAATTTAATTTAAAAAGAAAAAAAAAAAGTGAACAAATAGTTCTAGAATTTTGGTACAGTACCTGCTAGCAGGAAGCTCTCTTCTCACTCAGTACTTAGAAGACTGTAAACTGTAATACAATTTACTGACAACAGAAAAATATTAAAGGAATTCAGGAAGTTCAGTGGGTCAGAATCTCTTGTAATGCTGGTACTGCTCCATTGAACTCCCTGAAGTCAGTTAATTTGTGCCAATGCTCATCAGAAAACTGATCTTGGTATGCTCAAAATTATGTTTCAGGACACAATATTTAAACACTAAAGGTAATGGAATAGGAAGATCTTATTTCAGGAATTTCTTTTTCCTAAACTTTGGTCAGACTTATAGAAAGGTTTCCTGAAAACAAACAGAAAGATTGTAGAATGGATTTGGTCTACAAGGTAATTTTAACAAGGATCTTGGATTAGATTTTGCAGTCAAAGTGCAGCTATTGTTGGTGATACAGAAAAGGAAAGAAGGCAAATGAAGGCAGAACAGCGAGCAGCTGTGAATTTGCTAATTGCTTATGGCTTTTCACACTGCATGTTGTTAAATTGTCATATATTTATTTCAGCAGATAGCTGTGGATGCTGTAAATTTGCATGTGTTTAGGAAGGAATTCTTAGCAGTGAAGTGCTAATACCAAAATTATAAAATTTTGTTCGGGAACCTCCTGAACCATAAATGATGGGTGACTGGGAGAGAGAAGCATCATCACCTCTCTCAGAGGTGTTATTAGAGAGGTTTCATAGCGTGTTTCCTGTGTTTTTATTGTTGTCTGTTAATTTCCTAGTGATTTGGGGTACAGGATACAGGCCCAGGCAAATCCTGATAGTAACGTATATCAGAAAGAGAAGTTCACTGCAGCTTGCTACTTGTTTGTAATTTTTTAAACTTCAGTAACTGATTTCTGAGATAATACCTGGCTTTTGAGAGCTTTGTAGGAATTTGGAGAAGACAAGAACTATTTGACCTATTGAGACTTCCTGTTAAATCATTTTTCCCCAAGTCACTGCTAGATTGATGATGCCTTAAAAATATGATGTGAAAATGCATTTCAAGTGTTAATTACCATTTCAATGAAAAAGTACTTCCAAATCATCTGTTTTGATGACATTTCCCCTAATTTTATTTTTTCAAAGCCCTTTTGTCTTATCTTCATGACCAAATAACAGAGGTTGACATCTGTTCCAGCATTGAGAACACTTAAAATTAGGCCTCCCTAAACGTTTTTATCTTTAAGCTGCATTCCCTCACTTTTGCCTCTACTGGAATTTGGTCAATTTATCCTAAAAAAAAAAAAAAAAAAAAAAAAAAAAAAAGTTTTGCTGACCTTCCTAAAACATTTTAATACAACTAACAATTAGAAATAAAAAAAAAAAAAAAAAAAAAAGAAAAGAAAGAAAATTGTAAATAGGAGTATAATGAGACAAAACTAGTGTGACTATGAGATATAATAGAGTTTTATTACTAGTGAAATAGCTAGATGTGGGGGATATTATTTTCAGAGTTGCAACTCAGTGGCAATCAATGTTATATTTTTCAAATTGTATAAGCTATTCAAACATTTTTTAAAGTTATCCTCAGAAATTTGGAACTGAAAACAACTCTTTCAATCCAAGACTCATTTATGCACATGACTAAGATGTATTTTTGTGTATGTGTTGAGCAGTTTTGTATTTCTATAGTTAATACTTTCAGTGATGATTTATAAAAGATGAACAATTAAATAGAGTTGTGATCTCAGGTTAGGAAAAATGATGAATGCAGTTCATCATAAGCCTGCTCCTGTAAAATACTAATCTTCTCTCTAAGCTGTGCCAGTTCCCACAAGAGCACAGATTTCTTTTGCTTTGCAAGTTGATCTGTACAGAAAGAAGGCTGAACTGCCATGTAAAACAACTGTGACAGATATCTGACAGGATAGCACTTTGTCATTTAAAGGGGGTTGTTTTGTTTTATATAACATTAATATTGTAAGACTGTGAAAATGTATCTAAAAAGTGAAATATCCTATTAGAGTTCCTTTGCCAACTGGAACTGTTTCTGTTCAACTCTTACAATAATGCTGTCTTTATCAAAACCCACCTAATGTGTCATGTACTCATTTCTCAACTTCAATATTCCTCATTCCTCAACAATGTACCTTCCATATGATTCTCACTTAAAGCAATAGCATATCTTAACAGGGAGAAGTTATTTTAAGTGTCAACAACATACGAGAGATTTACCAGGATACTGGATTTAAAACCTATAATTGGCTGTATTATTAATTTTTGCGCATGTAAAGACTGCAAATTTTCACTACAGTAAAGTTGCCATCAAATTGTAGTTCTTATGGGGCTGTTGTAGTAAAGTTACACTACTGTAATGTTAATCTAGCAACCTTTCACTCTTAGGAGTCACTGCAGAAAAATGACTTGCAGAATTAGTTGATCACGTGTACATACAGCTCAGTCTATAAGCACTTGTAGTCAGCCTGCAAATTTTAAGTCTGGTCCCTTACCAGAATGATGTTGAGAAGGTTGCATCATCTTGTACAGTACTCTGTACATTCTGACAAAGGTTATCTGCACCACACACAGAGTTCACATGGGAAGCTTATTCCAGCCTTAGGGAACAACTAGTTCTGACACATTGGTAATGTGGGGAGGTGACACATATGCAAATACAGATATAATTATGCAAACAGCCAAGGTTCTGCTCTAAAAATGCGAGAATAGGCTGTTCAGTATTTCCAGAACAACAACTGATATATACAAATGCCTGAAAGCACAGTAAGAGGTGTATATTTGGTTTCCAGGATCAGTGGTTTTGGAGAGTCAGAAACAACAGGGTGATGGATGGATACCCCATGCAGATTACCTATTTCTGGAGAGGACTGCCTCCCAGCATTGATGCAGTTTATGAAAACAGTGACGGGAATTTTGTCTTCTTTAAAGGTAAGAAAAGCCAGACTTTGTGGAATACTTTTGACTGTGATGCTTTTTTTGGAACATACTTAATTATTTGTACTAATGGTTTGTAAATCATGTTAGAAATTTGTAGCTAACTAAAGCTACATATGAGTTATGTTTTGTCATCCTGTCTACTGCAGCTTTAATTTATGCTTACCCTTCAGAGTATCAGATCATTTACTCTGATATATTCAGTAAAAGTTTAGAAGCATAAATACAAGGCATTGCAATGCAGTGATCTACGATGAAATATTTTTTTGGAAAATCTGGATCAGAAGCAAGAATAAACACAGTTGCCTATGTTTTCATATTGTTCTCCTTGCTCTTCTTTCTTGTTACAAATGATATTTGCACATATATATTTAAATGGCATCTGATCTACAGATATGTTACTGTATTGCACTGTACTTATTTCATATAAGACCTCTGATATTAGGAATTTCAGGTGGGAAATGAATTCATAACAAATATATTTTTCACAGATGTATCAAGTATTTTTTTAGAAGTATAAACTCCAGAAAATGTTGTATGGATTGAATTATTGCTAATACATGTAATTCTTTTCAGTTTCATTCCCAGTGTCAGTGGTTCTTTAAATCTAATTTAGATTTAAATCTAATTTAGATTTAATGAGCAAAATTGACAAATTTGTATTGTCCTATATGATAAATAAATACCCATATAGCAATTCAAGAGTAAAAAACATCTAAAATATGTTTTATAATATAATATTTTAGGAAAATAAATAAGAAATTTCATAGGTATTTGTAAACTTCAGCTTTTATTTGTGTTCTGAGTGATTCACTTGTTAACTTATCACAAAAAGGTAGAAATAATGTTTTTCAAATTGTTATATCATAAATTAGTCCTTTTTTTTTAGAAGCAGAAACATTAACAGGGAGATAGAAGTAATATTTCATTCACTATGGAAATGTTATCACCTTTAAAATGTTAAAAGGAAAATGCCTAATAACATGCAGAAATACTACATAATAGTACAATGAAGATGAACTTTACGTTCTACTAATAGCCAAACTATTTTTTGTGTGTGTGTGAATTGTAAAGTAAATTACATTCCATGTAGTATTTTCTATTTGTATGACTTCAAAAGAATATATACTTTTATTTATTTGCCATAAAATAAACTTAAAGTCATAAACTGGGAAGTCAGTAAGATTAGGAATCATGATCAAAGTATCACCAAATCTGCATTCCTCTATTTGTTTTTCATGTCTGCTGGTCATACAAGGATAGAGGGATTATTCTGTGCATTCTTCTTTGCTCATCATTGTTACACAGAGCAAAGGAACCATTCTGTGCACATCAGACCTCTTCCTTGATAATTCTGGGATCCCCACTGCCTGACCTTCAGGCAGAAATGATCAAGCTAGCCTTACCTTTCGTTTCCTTTCCTTCCTGACCTAAAAATATTTTATTATTTAAATCTTTATCCAGTGCTGACTGACTCCTGTTAGGCCCTGGAGGAATGGGTTGATTCAACAATCTGCATGTTACAGACAACGAAACAACAGGAGGGGCTAAGAGGATTTTGTTAATGTTTTTGCATGTGAAATGAAATAATCTAGATTAATTAAAGCAAATAGAAGCAACACAATAGTGTTTCTATAAGTCAGAAAACTGTTCTTTTCCATCTTCCTTATCCCCAGTGTATGCTCTTTGAGTTCAGACCAGATGATTTTGTGCCTTATAGATGACATCATACACTTGGATTTTGCTATAGATATTTTTCCACTTGCTTTTCATTCAAAAGTCCTTTATTTGTTGTTGTAGCATTTTGTTTTGTTTTTCAGTAACATCTGTATTGTTCCGTTGTTTGCCAAAGTCAAAAATACTTCTATTTTCTTTTTTGATTTTTTTTTTCTGAATTTTTGCTTCTCTGTCATGAAGAATAAGCTCTTCATGATTTCCAATATCTACCTGATGGTGTTTGTCCACCAGTGTAATTCCTGTTTTCCTGCTGCCACAGAATCAATAGATTCATCTGAGTATTTTCTATGCATGTCCTTGAAAATTCCTGTTTACCAAGGATCTCAGATGATTTGTGAAACATGATAGCAGAAGTCTGTAGGTAGCAATCCTCATCTCATTTCTTCCATTCCCTTACAAAATTTCTTCTTGGGAAAATAGTATATGTCTTCCTCCCAAGGTTGTTAGCAATAGACAAGCTGATTGTTGCTGAGATGATGAGCAAACAGAACATGTTACCTAGGTAGAATGCTTTACCAATGGAAAAAAAAATGGTGAAACCAAGTAAGTTCTAGGAGGAGCTCTAAATCTGAAGTTTGTAATACAGATGTGTTCACAAAGCACAGATCTAAGCCAACATTTATGTCCATTATTCAGAGGAAAAAAAATAAATCAATGGAGTGAATGCCATCACCAAGCTTGGACTGGGTGAACATCACAGTGTGCTCAGAAAACACTCTCCAGATCACCTCACTTCTCACTTTAAGACTGATCCATTCTTCACCACAGGAAAGTGTCGTGATCAAGTGACAACAGCATTGACTTGCAGGTTTTTAAATAAAGCTTCCAATACTTCTTCTCAAGTTATCAGTAACATCCAAAGTCTTCCAATAAATGATAGGCTATTCAATCTCAGCCATGTTCTGGAGAAACATGTCAGTGTGTAAATATCCTCCCTTCAGAATCCTTTCTGAAGGCACACCTTACATCTCTATTGCTCTCTTTCACTCACTTTGGAGGCTTTGTTCCTATGGTAAAACAGGGTCTGGACATTTTCCATGACTGAACAGTTTTCCACTTCTGCTTTCTTTTTTGTGGAGCAATACATCCACTGTCTGGGGTCAGAGGAGGGAGAATTAATACAATTTATTCACCTGTGACTACTAGTGAGTAATTGCAACTTTGTTTTTGCTTGCATGCCTAAACTGTCATAGGTTCAGGACAAAAATTATTCAATCTTAGGCCAATAACACTTCCAAGATACACTCAGTGTAGACCTTGTGAAACATCCAGGATAGGAACATTCTGTTGATCTCTTTAGGAATCCACAAATCTCATTTACTTTCAATAATCTATGCTCTATTTCCTTCTTATGAGGACACTCGGGTTGTCTGGAGATGAGAGAGCGTGACCTTATTATATGAGAAGGCGTGAGAAGGAGATGAGAAGAATGACCTTACTGTTCTCTATGACTTCTTGAGGAAAGGAAACAGACAGGGAGGTGCTGGTCCCTTTTTCCTGGTAACTGATAACAAGATATGCAAAAATGGTGCAAAGCTGGTCCAGGGGAAGTTCAGACTAGATGTAAGAAAAAATTTCTTTACCATGACAGATATCAAACACTGAAACAAGCTTCCTAGAGAGGTGGTTGATGCTCCATGTCTGTCAATGTTCAAGAGATATTTGGACAATGACCTCAATAATATACTTTAACTTTTGTTAGCTCTGAAGAAGTCAGGCAGTTGGACTAGATGGTCTCTGAAGGTCCCTTCCAACTGAACTATTCAATTCAATTCAATTTGATTTGATTTGATTTGATTCAATTCTATCCTATTGGATTCAATTGAATTTGATTTGATTTGTTTAAATCTTTACCTTCTGAGACACCAAACATTGTTTGAAATAGTCGATTTAAATGATAAAGTAAGTTTAGATCTTCATTACTTTTTTCTTTTTTTAATTAGTATTATATTTTTCCTATTTATATGTAAACAGTTGTATTTTTATTAATAGGCTTCTGTTTTACACTACTAGAAATATAAAATAGTACAGGTATTTTAAATGTATGTATATGTATATATATATATATATATATTTAAATGGGAGCCATGTTGTAAAACATTAGCCATATACAAATAATCTGGGATGGCAACTGAGGGTGGAATATTTATTTATGATCCTTTGAAACATCTGTATAGCTTAATTTTTTACTGTGAGAAATGTAGTTATTCCTTATGTGTGCTATTTAAAGTCTTTCAGTATGTTTATACCTGTTCAACATTAATCTTCTGAGAATATTGGTGGAGCATTTGACACCACACATAATATGTTAGATATACATCAAAAATATAGCTAAATCAAGTTCAAGGCTGTTGGATCAAGGGTCTTCTTCAGTTTTGAAATTTCCTTGGTTTTGATTTTTTATCTTTACAAATTTAACTAGTTTCATATACTTCTTTTTTTCATTGATATTTATTTATAAAAGGAAAAATAATTGCAAAAATTCAGTGACATGCTTGTAGTGCAAAGCTATAAAGTGATACTTGCTCATTTTTTGTAGCTTAAGATAACTGGCCCGCATCCTTGTGACTCGTAATGCTTATAAAGTACTTAACTGTCTGGTGGACAGTGGCTTATAAAAAGCGGCTGTTTACATTCTTGTTAGTATTCAAGGCTGGTGTCTATGTTGAATGATAATAAGAAGATGGCTCCAGAACTATACTTTTTATTATTTATTATTATTATTTTATTTTAAATGAGGAGATGTGAATAGTAAAATTTATTCTCCATACCTGTGGGAATTTATGTAGTGCTAAAAGTGAAATTGTCAGGCCATCTGTGCTATTGAATGTTATGGTAAACCAAATGTAGCAATAGAAAGGCTGCTGTAAAACACAGTGCCACCATCATAACTTTCAACTGCATTTATCCCACTGCTTGGCAATATTATTTTGAAAAATAGATTTACTATAGCATTGGATAATGGAGCAGAGAAGTGCCAGAGACGAGATGTGGGGAAAAAAAGAGAATGAGATAAAAGGAAGCAAAAATAGTAACTTGGGGATACTAGTGAGAAGATGCTTGATCCTGGCTTGCAAGACCAAAGTTAGGAACAAGAGTAACTGGAGAAAAAACCCTCCAGAATTAGATATTCAAATTCTAACTGATTTCAGACAGAAACCAGTTCAGAATAGAAGTCCTAAAAGTTTTTATAATCTTGGCTCATCATAGCACATGTGGTGATTATATGCTATATCCTGCACAGGTCTTGCAGGATATTATAAGTACATAGACCATAAACAAACATGAATTGGTTGCTGACAACCCTGGAGCACAACCATTCAGCATTCTGATGCTAAAAAGGAATGGTTATGGTTTCTAAAATCTGCATAATTGTTTGCAGTTGTCAGTCTGGAGACTATCTGGAGTTAAATATTAGGTATTTTAAGAGACATATTGCAGTAGAGATAGCCTTTATTTCCAGCAATTTTTTAAGAATGTCAAAGATAGATACTTAGAAACTTCAAGTAATTGCAGTCACAGTTCATCTTTCTCAATTATTTTCCTATGGTGATGATATTTAACAAAGCATTACTGAAAAAATGTAAGACATTTTGACTTTTTTGTCACTTGCTTCATTCTCAGCTTGTGACCTTAACATTCTGCTTGTTGGTATATTGGATCTTACATTAGGGAATAAATGCAGAGAGATGAAAGATTCTGAAGGCTGGCCAGACTTCATGAAACATGTGGTGCTTTATTAAACTCTGTGAGAATAACAAACCTACCAAACAGACCTTGAAAAACAAGTCTGTTAAATAAATACAGTGCTAATTTCTGTCTGGGACATACAGTAGGACTCTGATCAAGCATTATTTATGTATAAGAAGGTTGAAACTATAATTATTTTAGTCTTGTTATGTATTCTCTATTTCCATTGTAATCACAGTTCATGAGGTATATTGACTATTTAATTGTGGAAGTGGAATATGAACCAAATGAAAGCTTACTGACATGCGGGTTCAGTTTTAGTACATTTTACGATACATAAATATAATTTAGAAGTAAAGGAGTTAATTTTCTTTATAGTCATGCCTCTTTTGCACTGATTTTCAGCTTTAACTCCTAATACTGAATTTGAACTTTTCTGAATTTCTCTGATCAAGTCACCCACTTTCTTCCAGCTGAGGGACAGATGCTAAACAGGAAAAAAAAAATAAAAAAATTAAAATGGGCAGTCAGGTGGAGCATTTAGGTTTCTTGTATACAAACATTCCCACTAACAATCAACAGAGTTGTAGCAGACTAAATATATCTTCCAATGTTAAACTCTATAATACATAATAGTTAGTGTTAGAATAGTTAGAATCAATAGACGTTTTGCCCACGTATGTTAAAGCTCTCAATGCCCTACTGTCTCCGTTTTTGGAAGTGTATTTTATATAGTTAAATTTACCTTTTGTCTATTTACCCCAAAGCAATTCGCTTTCTGTCAGAAATTTTGTGAAGAAGGATTTAATTTCTCACTTATGTCATGTTTTTCCTTTCTTTACCTGCTTATACTTCCGTATATATGAACATGTAACAGATATGTTACCTTGCTCAGTACTGCTATCCACTAAAGTGTGCGCTCAACCACTGTTTTGTTTTGCTGTGACTTGATCTTGTTAATAGCTGAATTTGACTTGTTGGGTATGGCTGGTAATGATCAATTCCTAACAACTGACTTTACTTTTATTCCTTGTGAGGCACAAGAAAAGGTAATGGCATTACATACATCACAGCATATGCCTCTCAATGCTGTGCAACAGCTGTCATTTTGAATGATCTTCTGAAACAGAAATGAGCTGGCTCCATATCATTTACTGGATGCCATCTGTTGTTCACACCATAAGTACCAACTACTGAGGTCCAAAATACATGGCTTCTCTTACTGTCGCATTTGAAACTGCCATTATCATCTGAAGTCTTCTGTGTCTGGTCATCTGAATTGGCAGAAGGATAAACCACATGGAAGGAGAGACAATGAAAGATTAGAGATGCTCACCTTCATCATCATACCCTATATAAGTGACTTCTGTAGGGAATCTCAGTAAAGGTAAACGTCAGGGTAGCACAGACCTTAATCCTTGGTCAATACAGACCTTAGCTTTTTGTGACTGTTCTTAGATCTCTATGTCCCTTTTATTTTCAGTACTTCAAATGTCTCTGTATGTATTTGTTCTTAGAACCCTTTCTTCCTTCAACTGACAGAGGGAAAAGATGGATCTGTTGAGCAAACTGTAGTCTCAGTATTTGGAAGTGGGTGGCAAGCAGCTGTGAAGAAGCTGATAAAAAATTTATTCTGGAAACCCAGCATGGGAGGGACTGAAACTATATCCCTTCTCCTAATTAAAACTGTGATAAAACGAAAGCATGCTTTATATCACTTCAGTACAAACAGGGATATAAAGCAAACCTCCCGTTAAGCAAATATTTAATACCACTGAGGGATAGCTAAAATATAAAAACAACGGCAAACCAGTGTTCTGGATTTTCCCTCTTCTTAACTCTGGCATACACCTGATCCTATGTCTTTGGAGTGATACTACATTTCCTTATAAAATAATTATGCAGCACAGCGCCTTAACCTCCTAAGTCTGTGTAACAGCCTGACTAGCCTTACAGGTAAATATAATAATTAATATAAACAGCCATGATTTTATCTTTTAAGATCTCTTTCTAAAAGTGTATGAGGAAAACATATTTTATCATAGAATCTTAGAATGGTTTGGGTTGGAAAGAACCTTAAAGATCATTTAGTTGCAAACCCCCTGCCACAGACAGGGACACCTTCCACTAGATCACATTGCTCAAAGCCCCATCCAACCTGTTTTTGTTGTTGTTTTGGTTTGTTTGTCATTTTTTTCCCCTTAAATTTTAAACCTCATCATAAATAACACTGGACAGCCTAAGGTGAAATATCCAATAGGGCTGTATAAACATATACAATAGGCCAATCCAGTATTTGTGTACCTTCCCTAGACTTCTCTGTAATGTAACTCAGAAGGGTCTACATCAAATCAGGCAACCCTCTCCTTCAGTGTTGTTATTACAATTAGCAGCACTTTTCAGAAACACAGATGAAGGTAGTCCCTTAAAGAGAAAATAAGCATGTTTCCTACATGATGGAGGCTATCATCTAGCTTACAAAGAATGTCCCTGTGGCCTAGATAACATAAAGCAAAAAGAAGACAGGCCCTAAAGCAAGTTCTTCAGATAAATACTAAAACACAGATTATGCTCCATTTTCCCTATTTCTAGGGGGCATAGGAGGATCTTTATTACCTTTTTTTTAGCCTGAGATGTCTGTGTTTGAAAGAGAAATTTTTACTGAAAATACACAGGTAAGATGTGTATTTTGAAGATTAATTAGAAGAAAGTAAAAACATACAAATGAAAAGATGGTTGCAGAAATAGGTCAGCAGGCACAGTACGTTTAAAAGACAGGGAAGAGCCTAGAGGACAGCAGAATTATTGGGGATAGCACTAGTCTAAAGGCTTATAATATGAGGTAATGAATTTGGCGACATGAGTTCATTGAGGAAGAAGAGCTTGGATAGGAAGCTAGAGCAAACTGAAGGTGGGAAAATGGAGTGTTAAGAATCTCGAGAGAGCACAGGGAGCATCCTCTCCAAAATTGTTGCAAATTCTACTTTTGTAGACAAGCTCACTGCTAGACAGACAATATATTCAGCAAGTAACTGAAACAGTAGGGATTCAACCACTGAGCATTGCTGTCCAGGAGGCACTACGCCTAAACTGATATTTAAAACAGATTAGGTAACCTTGTGTAGATATTTGCATACCAGCTAGCATCACACAACTACCTTGTGTTATCATCATACACTAAATCAATTGTGTGGTTTTCAATGATCCACTACGCAAAACCAAAGGTTAAATGATATTGCCACTGGTACTAAAAGCAAACACTCATTAATTTCAGAAGCACAGCATTTTCACCTGAGGGACTTCAGAACCTTAGTTTGCAGTCTGTAGGTCACACTAAGGATATGAATATGAATGTATAATATGAAAAAATATTTTAAAATCTACCTGTACATTATGCCTAAGTAATTTAACTTTTTCAGGAGAAAAAGAACACAGACATAAAAGTATTCAGTTTATATGAGGATAAGAGTTTCTATTTTTCATTTATTTATGTTTTCTTATCTCATTTTGTCTTAAAATTAACTATTTTTTTCCTCATGCAACATTATATACTATTGTATTGTACTGCTGTAAATTCATTACATTACCGTTCACAGAGACCTTTAAAGATGACTTAATTTTCACTCTGGGTTTGATCTCAGAATAGATGGTATTAGAATATGTGGTCCTATTTATGGTCCTTTTGGATAAGAGATGTTTTATAAATACAAGGTATCGGTAATATATTTTATTTTCTAAGGTATTTTATTTTGCATTATCTGCAGTGATATAATATTTTTCATTTCAAAGTTTGTAGCACAATTACTGTACCCTATGGGAATCTTATTTCTTTAGAATGTATTCATTTCAATACTGAGAGTTCTGAAGACTAACACCTATATATGTATGTCTTTATATATGGTTTTGTACAGGTAACAAGTTCTGGGTTTTCAAGGACACTACTCTCCAGCCAGGGTATCCTCATGACTTAATAACACTTGGAAGTGGAATTCCTTCCCATGGTATTGATTCAGCAATTTGGTGGGAAGATGTTGGGAAAACCTACTTCTTCAAAGGAGATAGGTTGGTATATGAATTCTTCAAGGAAACAATTTTGTGGATCTCAACTAAGCACGTTAATCTTTTCTGTTATTTCTCTAAAGAAGTTGTGCCACTTCAACAGCTCAGTGTTTTTTGTGGATGTTATTAATTCCTCCTGCAGAGGGCCATACTTCTTTCATATTTCTTATAATCTACATTATCATTATGTTAGCATACTGATATGAAGTGTCTCTTTCCAGTGGAAAGTTATGATTTAGAAGTCAACAGGCATGTCACAGTTGTGACAAATTTAAATTTAAATATTCCAAGTAATGTAATTAGCTTGCACTCTCACTTTATTTGGGTAGTTTCCTGGTGTTTAGTCTTATGTGCACTATTACCACCTTTTTTTCCTCATTTCTAAACTCTAGCACATAAACAGGCAATGATTCATTTGAAAGTTTTTAAGGTCAAAATGGCTTTGTTGCTACTATTTAAAAATGAGATAAGAAAGGAAAATGACAGCTAACACAGGAAGCTAGAGAACAATTTAAGCAGTTTCTTAGGAATTATTTTTAAATTAAGGCTGTGGTTTCTTTCAGAAGGGACACTTATTTTTATGATTAAAAAAAGAACAAAAGAAAAATGGTAAAATCTGAGTTCTCCTCCAGTCCTGAAACTGACTTCCACTTGTCACTTATTGTCTCCATGTCTTCATTTCCATATCTGCAAAAATAAAGGAAAGAATATTTGTCTACTTTATAGAAATGTCAAGAAAACCCATTGGTTTTTGAAGCTCTGCAAGTTATCTGAATGATGGATAAGTTCAACTTGTTACTATATTTGTTTATTAATATGTTCTGGGTGCTCAAGACACCAATAATAATAAACAAATAATAAACCAATAGAAAACTTATTCTTTCCTAATTATTTGAATGTTTATATTAGTATTGTTAAAAGTATGATTGCTGCTGTTATTACTGTATGGTACTTAGGATTATGAGACATTAATAATGTTCTTGGATGTCTTAAGAAATTAATTTAATGCACATCACAGAATATTTTTAGTTTACTAGTTTAGTAGATAACATAAGTAGATATTTATCATCTTTTAACAGTACAATAATATTGCTTTACAGACTGCCACAACCAATTGTATTGTGAAAGGTTTTGTTTGTTTTTAAAGAAAAATAGTTCTTCAACATCTGGTAAAGAAGGGAGAAACTAAGTCAAAATTTAGTGGTGTTTGAAAATTAGCGAAGAAAGACACCTGTATAATTTGCTTCCTCTTGTTCAGAAGATTGATTATTATATTTTTATTTTTCATGTAAGTTCATTTTCAGATAACAATTTCCCACCTCCACACACCTGGGAAAGTATGTACAGTAGGAATCTGATGTGACCTTCACTTAGTCTTTATTCAGCAGTGTCCTTTTATATTTCCATGCACAAACAGTTACTTATAGTTAATAGTTTCCTAAATAATAATAATAATAATAATAATAATTGGAAATAATATTTTAATAATATAAAAATAACCTTCAGTAAAAAAAAATATGTTGAAAAAGTTTAAACTTAGAGCTAACTAGCAGAATGAGACTCAGCATGATATAAATGCATTGCAGTATGTAAGAAGATCGAAGAACATGAACCTTGCAGAGATAATTGAGCTATTATGGGATATTGACCACCAGTAGGAATAAGCTCATATACCACTAAACTTCTCAATGTGTATCTTTTATATCACAACTTCTTTATTTTATGTAAAGTTAGAGTTGAATTCTGCTGGTTTTAGTAGTATCTACTATAGGGCTGTATTTAATCCTGAGTAAGGTATAGATGTGGCAGGAGGTAGTATTTAAAGGAAATCAAAACATTACACTAGCGTCAAAATAACAATGTTCCTGCTTATGTAACTCAAGGACATGTACACTTGTTTTGATGGTAATCTTCAGTAAAGGAGCTTCAGGGCAGAATCTAGACAGAGTTAAATTTGCCAGAACAACGGTATAAACAAAAAGCAGTTGGAGCAATAGAATAACAAGCATAAAATATTACCTATAAAATTAAAAATATAAATATATTTAGAAGTTCAAATAGTAAATTATATTATAATATTTTTATGTCTAAACTAATTCATGAAATGATCATTATTATTACTTGAAGTGATCCATTTACACAGAAAAGATAACTCTTCAAAGTAATTCTATGAAAGCAAAAGAGGGGACAAAAGACTGCAGAAAGACATTTTACCCACTCTTATTCCTCTCCTTAGAACTGAATAGTGTAGGACAAGATGATAACATGCTTGCTGCACTTCTTGACACTTGGCCTTGTTTATGACCCTGTTTGGTGTGTTTTTTGCACTTTTTAGTTTAAATGAACCTTTTTTTTTTTTTTTTTTGATTCATAATGTTTAGTTATCTGGTAGTTTACAATATGTAATATACAATATCTGGTAGTTTACAGTATTAACTAGAGGAAAGAACGCATTTTAGCAAATGTTTTTCTATATTTATTTTTACAAAATCACAAAGTGCGTTTTCATTTATTTTCTCCCTTTTATTCTATCAGTCTTTAAGATATAGTAACACAGTTTATATAGTTGGTAAAGCTCAAATCATTCAAGTCGTCACTGGGGAGTCTGCTTGTGAACATTTTGCATGCCAGGGAAAGACAGAACTAGGCTTTTCCTTACCCTGTGGACATGCTCATTGTTCCAGCACTGACTGAAGAGATGGTATCATGATAGGTCTTTTCCTAATAGAGTTTCTCATCAATGCTGAAAAGACAATGCTTTCAGGACTTTCAAGTGTGTACTGACTGTGTCCTCAAAGATGTTTTTTAATGGCAACATATATGTTTGAAAGTCCTATAGGACTGCCTGTTTCCATCATGTAGAAAAACATAGAGGCTATATATGTAAATGGAGCTCACAAGAAGAGCTCCAGGTTGGAAGAGAAGAAATGAAAATGAATGGAATTAAGCAAGAAAGAAAGGGGGTTTTGGGAAAGAGGGATAGAGGAAAACGTAAGATAATTCATAAGAAATGCAGATAAAAATGGAGATTAGAAAATAGAAGATTAAACTCAGTGAAGAGTGAGAACACAGAAATGAGAACAAACAAATGTGTGCAAGCTAAGGCTGAAGAAATGCAGAGTCAGGACATGAGTTATAACTATCTGCATTAGTATTGATTTCAGATCTTCGTTTGCTATTTCTACATGTTGTTTCATTCTCCGTGTAAATTCTAAAAGATGTTCCATTTCAAAATAAACAACATCGTTTTGTTGGCTGGTTACTGGTGCATGTGCTACTATATTAAGAAATCAGCTTATAAAAATGATTTATGCATTTGAAATAAAAAAATAAATGCAAATAGTTCTTAGTGTAATTTACCAAATCTGCCACCTTTTAATTTCACTAGAATTTTAAATCCAGGGAAATGCCACACAGGACAAGGTACATAAGAGTTTAGTCTATTCTGTTTTTCAGAAAGATCAAGAGATGAATTGATTAGTTTCTAAGAACCTTCACAAGGAAAAAAAATATTGTCCACTTAAGGACTCTTTAATCTGCCAGGATATATCATAACAACCATTTCTAAAAGCTGAAGTCAAATGGTTCAAATTATAAAAAAGGTCAAGAATTTAGCAGGACTATATTATTAATTCAGGTGATATGGAGAGTTTTATAGCCTTTATAGGTGATTTTTCACAAGAATAAAGCTGAATTTGGAAAACTCCCAAAAAACTATGCTCTAACTTAGTGTATTTTAAATTAGTGGAGACAAACAAAATATCTAATAACCTACCCAAATATTATAGCAATATACACAGAGAAACTAAGGATACTCTATGATAACACTTAGATGCATATAGCAGTTTAATCATCTGCATAAGACCAAAGGAAGTATCAACGTTATTTCTAAGTGTAAATAAAATCAAGATTGTAAATATTTATCTGAAGTTCAGGTTGCCTAGAATTTGCATATTGAGGCTTTTTAATTAGAGAAAGACTGGTTGACAATGATGCAGAAGTGCTTTTGAAATTTTCTGTTGCATCGTAACTATGTAATAAAATGACCAGCTACAGTAATGTATATTCATAGGGAGTCAAGTTAAGCAGTTAAGCATGCTGGCATTTTTGTGATTAAAATGTTAGTTAAAACATTTGTGTACCTTTTTTTTCATATGCTGCTTCTCTTTGTTTCACTGTGTTCTAGACATCAAAATTACTCTGATTAGAAGTGGGACACAAGTTGATTTAGTTGTCAAAGTGCAAAAATCTTTTATCTTTCTTTTTTCAGTGTACGTGAAACAGTTATCTAGTTTGCAAATACATTTTATTTCTTTGTTATTTGGTAGTATCTTCAAAGAAAAGAACTCAGGTGTTTTGTGACTATTGAATACAGCAAATGTCAGAAGGAAAGAACTATGTAGTTTCTTGCCTGTTATGTTATATTTTTTTTCTTTGTTTTCTTTTTCTTCTTTAAAAAAAAAAAAAAAAAAAAAAAAAAAAAAAACAGGTACTGGAGGTACAGTGAAGAAATGAGATCCATGGACCCTGGTTATCCCAAACCAATCACAATTTGGAAAGGTATCCCAGAATCTCCTCAGGGAGCCTTTGTCCACAAAGAAAATGGTATGCAAACACATCTCTGTTTTAATAATTTACTAGTTTACTAACACCCTTTATGTAAGATAAAGTAGCAGAGCAGTGATTGACTATTTGTATTAAGTAGTGGAGGAATTTATGAACAGAGGAAATATTTCCTGCTATAGAACTTGATTTTGTGAAAAAGGCTTTGTTTGCTTGCATGTATCACTTAACACAATGAAGGGAAAAGATCTTTCAAATTTAGCATAATAAACATTAATTTTCATTCTTTTTGTTTGTTTTATTCTGTCTTAAATCATTTAATTATTTCTGTTTTCTGCAGAATTAAAGAATGTCTTAGAATGAGTTTTCTAACCACAGTATATCTCCATTTTGCTACTGTCAAGGCATTGGCTGTTTATACAGTTTAGAAGGTAGTACCTTTATTCTGAACAACTAGAACAGGGAAAACAGATTTTTATCTGAATAGACATCTTAATCTGATATATCCTTAGGAATCTATGTTATCAAAGATGTCATAAACCCATTATACAGAAATGCAAATCATGGGGATGTTAGTATAAGGTGCTATTACCTGGACCAAGATGGATCATCACGTACAGGAATCTAGAATTTCAGTTTGCCACAGTTCCAAATGAATGAGAGCAGCCAAAATCTCATCTACTTTATGAGAATTCAGTGCTACCCAGGGCTACTGGCAGGCTGTCCTCAGTTGCACAGAGTGTAGATACCTTTGATGGGAATAAAAATATGCATCTGTCCTCATTTTTCATTGTTGGAAGAAAGTTGTATGGCATTTATGATTTATTTATTAGTAAATTTTGAGTTTCTTGTGCTCACCTCACAGACAGCACATATATGTATTGCCATATTATTTTAATTTCCTTTTAATAATTAGGCAAAAAGATTTCTTGCCATGTATAGATCACTTCCATCTAGTATTTCAATCTCCAACTTAAGTAATTTACTATAGTTTTTTGTTTTTGTTTGTTCCTTTGTTTGTTTGTTTTTCCCAAAATATATCTAATTGCTTCCTTGCTTCATCTCTGTTACAACCAGAAGTAGAAAACATCTTTGGATTCCAGCATTTTGGCTAGACTAGTTTTTTTTATGTTGTTTTTCTTTGGTTTATTTTATTTTTACTGGGAAGTAGATCAGGCATGATGACATTCTGCGTATATTACACTCAATAACTAACTGTCATTTGTAAATACACATATATGTTTGGAAATGGGCACAAAAATTATGTATGCACACACAAGCACAATTGATATAACCTCTTCCCTTAATTACTTTTTAAGCATATTTCTAAAGATTTACATCCAAAAGGAATTTAGCACGTATATATGTTTATATATAGTGAGGCACTTGAACAGGTTGGCAAACACAAGTTGTGGATGCCCCATCCCTGGAGGTGTTCAAGGCCAGGATGGATGGGGCCTTGGCCAACCTGATCTAGTGCCAACCTGATCTAGTAGATGGTATCCATGCCTGTGGCGGGGGGGGGAGGGACGGGGGTTGGAGTTAGACAATATTTAAGGTTCTTTCCAACCCGAGCTATTCTATGATTCTATGATAGCTGTATGTATGCATGTATTTTTTTTTTCTTATTTTGATTGCACTTCTTATAAAATGGTTTCTCTATTGAGCTCAGGTACATGTGTCTATCATTATGAATGCAAATTATCTTAGTGTAACACTCAGATGAGTGGTTTTCAAAGTACTACAGGGGCAGAACACTTATTACTAAGGCAAAAAAGACTCTTCATAATGTCAGACCCACTTCTCTTTTCTTCCCCAATAGCTTTGATAGTCTGTCTAGCAGCCTTTGAATGAGGAGGGTGGTAAAACATGACATTACATTGTGAAGAAGGTGAAGGGAAAAGGACATTCTTGGGCTTCTCAGGAAGCCTAAAAGGACCCTAGGGCAGAAAAAAAGGCACAAAATGGTATCATAAATTTCCCATTAAACCACTAAGACATTTTTCATGAAATAATGACAGCAGGCATGTCTTGAGAAATAGTTCAGATCTCCACTGCTGCTTATATGGAAATACCAAGAAACAAAAACAGATACCAATATGAAGTAACACAGCTTATCTAGAAAGAATTTGAGTGCATTTTGTCTGGATCTGTTTTCCTTTCTTTGGGTAGAAGAGCTGACATACAAGCTTATCTTCATAGTTCTGTTGATGACCATTTGAAAGCATATCTTCTAATTAAACCAAAAAATTTTTAATTTATTTTGGCTTTCCCTTGTATTTTTATTGTGCAAACCATGCAAATTAACACCTACAGTAAGTCTGATAATAGACAAAAGGATTTCCTTAGCAATTAATACTAACTAATGTCAGTATTTTGGGTTATAGGTACCTGATATATACAAGTTTGTAGATTATATATATAGGTAAGAATATAGATATAGAGATGTCATATCTCTATATAGTCTCTCTATATGTATTAGAATATTTTTATAGATAATACATCAAATTGCTTCAGATGAAGTACTTAACTGGGAGAAAAAAAAAATGGAAAAAATCCATCGATTTGTATTCAGCCTATAAACAGTGGGAGGAAATTCACCCTTTGTGAAAGTTTGCTGTATTTGTTTGTTTTTCCAGATTAATACCATTTTTCATCTGGGATAATACAGTAAAAGATTTTTGTCAGGGAGTCTCATTCTCTCTCTCTCTCTCTTTTTTTCCTTCTTTTTTTTTTTTTTTTTTTTTTCCCCATGGAGGCATATTCAATTGCATCTAAATGATCAAATACCAGCACCCTACAGAAAATTTAAATGTGTACACCTGTTTTTTTGTTTGTTTGTTTTTTGTTTTTTGGCAAAGCTGCTTTTATTTCACAGTTTCCTTCTTCTGAAGTACAGTGGTAGGCTATGTGACATTGAAGAGACAGAGCTCTTATTTCTGGCTAGCTCAGCATAGTAACTTATTTCAGTAGACTTTTCATCTTGAAGAGCTTGAGATGCTTCCAAGTGCATGCATAGAGCTGGTCCCGAGGATTACAGCTCCAGTTGGGCTTTCAATGTATAAACAAATAACCTGGACCCTGGCCTGTCAAAAATAATATATTTTTTTGGGAATTCCTTTATTGTTTGTGGTAATGCAGGATATAAAACCTTTCTATTCTATAAAAAATAGGGGAAAACAGATTTTCTAGAGACAGGAAAGAAATGAAACTTGGAAAGTTTTGAAAGGCCAATCAGTAGGGTATATTCCTCATATTTTTTATCTTTCTAATTGTAAAATAATTTGATACCAGTAGTTTCAGTCATTGGGTGTAGATGGCATGCTTGATCTGATATGACCGTGAATAACTGTGATTTTTCTTCCTCAGGCTTCACATATTTCTACAAAGGAAAAGAGTACTGGAAATTCAATAACCAGATGCTCAGAGTGGAACCTGGCTATCCCAGATCAATCCTCAAGGATTTTATGGGTTGTGATGGACCAACAGACCGAGACAAAGACCGACACAGCCCTCAAGATGACGTTGACATTGTCATCAAATTGGACAACACAGCCAGCACTGTGAAAGCCATAGCCATTGTCATTCCTTGCATCCTGGCCTTGTGCCTCCTTGTCTTGGTTTACACTGTGTTCCAGTTCAAAAGGAAAGGAACACCCCGCCACATACTGTACTGCAAACGCTCTATGCAAGAGTGGGTGTGATGTAGGGTTTTGTTTTGTTTTTTTTTTCTTTCCCTCCCAGGAGTTTGTGGTAACTTGAGATTCGACACAAGAGCTGTTATGCAGTTTCCTAGCTAGGAGCAGGCATCTGTCAGTCTGAAACAAAGCTGATCTTTAAAACCCAGGGGGTTGCCTATCCTGCGCATGAGTGGCGATTTGCTCAGCTGGGAAGCTTCCATGATACAAAGTATCTGCTGTTTCTTCAGTCCTTTGTCTTTCTTTGTCATTCAATTTAGGCCTTTCCTCTGCACGCCAAATGCCCGATATCAGGATTAACTAATGAAGAGGAAAAATAATCTCAAATGTTTCTACATTTTTCCCTTAAGGCCTGTTCCCCTTTGAAAAAAATTTTGCTGAAAGTTAATTTTTTTAGAAAAACACAACAACCTGCAATGGAACTTTCAGGAAAGTGAGAAGACCCAAAACAGCTTTGTCTCCAAAGAGGATTGCTTTCTGTCTGCTAAGGATAAAGTCCTACTCCTACTTCCAGTTTGTCAGGTGGGAGACCCAGATGACACGCAGGACTTCAGACTGTTCGGACAGCCATTTTCCAACAAACAAGGGGCCAAAATATCTGCAATATAGTAACAGCCTTAATAATACATTCATTTTGTGTTTTATACAGCTGCTCTGGGCTATGTCCTCAATGTTTTAAACTCATTTATATTCATTACTATATTCAAGAGGAATCTTTTTATTGTTTTTTTTTGATTTTGGGTTGGTTTTCCTGCATAATCTTTCCCAAGCTGTACCAAGCCAGCTGCCCCAGGCCTTTCACAGGTCTGTCAGGAGCACTCATTCCAAAGCATGGTAAAAAGCAGTGTGTCTCTGAAGTGGATTTCAATGAACTTAAAGCAACAGTCATGGTGTAGAGAACTTGACACTGGTATTACTTTGGTGTAACCCTTTGAGAACTATTGCATCAGTTTGCAGAGTCTGGTGGATGTTAATCTTGGTTGTCATTAAATTACAGGATTGTGTTTTGGAAATACAGATTTTAAAAGAAAAACAGTTTTGTTTTTGTTTTGTTTTGTTTTGTATTTAAAACGGATTTCCTGTGACTGCAAGTGAGTGTTTTTAACTACTTGCATTATTGATACAAAAACATTTATAACATAAAGAGAAAACAAACTATATTTACCAGCTACTTTCTGGTTAAATGAACCAAACCTATTTTAATATCTTCTACCACTTACCAAGGATTTTTCTGAACTGGCTACAGTTTTATAGCTTAGCCTTTTATCTTAAGCATCTTGAACTTCTATTTTAAACTATGTTGCATGATAATTCAATTTGCCTCTTCAGAGGTAGAGTTACAGTTTCAAAGGAAAACTAAAATGATGACTCTGATATTGCATGAATATCCTCTGGTGTGTTACCCCCTTGCATGTTCACTATAGTTCTCAAAGGGTTAGTCAAATCTCTGGCCTTTAGCTGAACATGATATCACCGACAGAGCCAAGGGACCACCAAAGCATTTTGTCATTACGTGTAATTTGTGCTAACAGCAGTATTGTCATTTTCATGTGACCTGCAGAGCAGGTTTGTATCAATATTTTTTTCCTAGAGAAAAGTCAGCAACTGACAGACCTCTTTATTGATTTTAGGAGCTGCTTCTTGCAGTGATAGGCTTTACAGTCACTGGGCTGTGAACTTATTAAAGATGGTCAGAATGATGCACCCCAAATGTCAGACACCTGGTTTTTTATGAAAGCCAGGATTTGAGGGGAGTAGCTTTTGCAACAATGAACAGCTTGCCTTGAACTTGATTATTGACCTGTTGACTGTCATTACCAAGTTAAACATTGTCTTCTGTGAACAGCTTCACTGTCTGAATTTCCTTAAAGTGTACTGTCCTATGTCTTTGCTCTTTGACCTTTAACTTGCAAACTGGCACAAACTGAATGGAATCCGGTGTTGCTAATGATCTAAGATGGGTTTAATTTCTTAAAGGCCTGATGTACATTATCCAAAATTAGAGAAAAAAATGTTGAAGTGTTTTCTTAGGAAAGAAAAGACAGAAACAAAAATATTTATGATAGATCTGTAGAAAGGTATTTTGCTATGTATACATGCACACTCTAAAAATGAACTACAGTAGAAATGATTTTTTATTTAACTTGAATACAATTTTTCCATATAAAGTTATCATTTCTACAGATAGCTAGTTATTAATGAAAAGGTTATAGGAAAGTATTAAAATACTTGAAATGGCCAGTATTGGCTTTTACATAAAATGAGACTTTTGTACTACATTCAGCCAATTTCTTACTGATTTCTTAATTCACATAACTGGATCACTTTTTAGAGAGTGTAGGTATATATACACATATATTATGGTTATTATTTTGGTAATGAATAGCTTGACTGCCTTGAATTTATATTTATATTGAGCATAGCATGAAAAATAGTATGCCTTTTTGTTCGACTACATGATTTTATATTGATTTGAGGACTTTATGAACATATGTGGCATGCTATAAAGCATTGCAAATTGTTATTTCTTAGAGCATAAACAGATATACATATGTAACGGCTAACAGAAATGAAGATTAGAAAAAGATATAGTTTTACAACAAATATGCAATGCAGATGGCATTTTTGAGATGTTTTGTAGAGGTACCGCATACTGTAGGTTAGAATTACACCAGTATCAGCCCATAGCATTATTTAGTAAATCCAATTCAGTTGTTGCTGAAAATATATATTAATTGACAGTTAAGTAACATAGGGTATTTACTGCACATCTGCTCATTTGGTGAATTCGGAATTCAATGCCTCTTTGCCATATATATTAATATGTGTGTGTGTACATGCATTTGTGTATTTAGAAATGCATACACACACTCACATACACATACATGCATATTTTAATTCATGCATAGATTTTTATTGTCAACAACCTACTATAACTTATATTTTGCTACAGACAGAACAAAATGATTCATCACCTGTTCCAATTTTGTCCCTTGGTGGAAAATACTAACACTATTTACTCTGCATTTGGTTTTCCTCTACAACAGGAGAACTGGTTTTATATTATCTTTAATTCAGAACAGCATCTCATCTGTTTTTTTGTTCACTTGAAAAATTCACTTCAATTTTTAAATATCTTTCATGGCAGCTTTAACTTTTTGTGCAACTGTTTCCCTGAGAGTAATGAAGTGCTGAGCATGTTGACTGTTGTTTTTTGATAAAGTAACAAAAATGTTTGCATTTGGAGAACTTAATTTTAATTATGCAGGAAGGTAAGTGTGATAAGTCTAGTGCTTGGTATATGGTACATCATAGATACCTGAATACACAAGTTGATTATTTTCTTTTACTCTAAAGTGCATATATATTATATACAGAGAGGGAAAAGTAATATTATATTGGCATGTTTATGTCATGCAGAGCAAGATTTTGTCAGCATTTATCTTATATACTCCTATTTTCAGTAGATTATAATGCAGTCATAAAGGTTTGTTTTAAGTAATAGATGTAGGAGCAATTGTGGTCAGTGGAATTTCCAAATATATGTTGGCTGACTGAATTATGGAAATTCAGATTAAATTAGTGGTGTTACCTGATTTAGTTTTGAACTCAAACAAGTAAAAGTTCTAATACGATGTTATTTTTTGAACAGTTGTTTTTCTACCAGGGCCTATAATTACAAGCACTAATCAAAAACAAAGTGATTGAGTTCTGCAATCTGGGTTCCTACTCACGTGTCGTAACTTTTCACATAACATTTTTAATAAACTTTTCCATATTGCTACTGTCACAATCTGTACTGTGGAAAAATACAAAACTGAATATTCATTGTGTTAATCAGTGACAGTCTATCAAGCTGACTATACGGGGCTGTGTATCTTCAAAATACTAATGTCTGTATGACACAGGAGGCCAGAGTAGATAACATCACCATTTCACCTGGCCTTTTAATGTATAAAACTATGAAAAGGTTATTGACTGTAACATATTGACACAATTTTTTTTTTTCCAAAAAATACACTTAAAAAAGTATGTAATTGTATATTTACTGGATAGCCTGAGATTGAGAGACTCAAATGGCTCCAACGGAGCCCTTTCAAGTCTCCTGAATAAATGTAATACATGTTTTATATCTTCCTATGAATTTTTGTTCTTTTTCTTTTATTCAAAGTGGAGAAAAGGGAGGGAATAACTAAAGAAAAAACAAAAAAGCTACTTTTGTGAATGAAAATGACAGAAAATAATATATTCAAACATAAGGGGCAGATTTACACTTTCTCTTGGCAGTGTACTTCACCTCCCAGTTGTTTTGCCAAGACTCTTGTGCTATGAGCACTGTGGGTTAAGAACAGAGTGTAAGACTTAATTTTGAAATTTCAGCTTTTTTTGGCTTACTTCACAATCCTAACATCAGTTAAATGTAGCTTTTGGTACCAAATTATATAGAATAGAATTCTAGCTTGTTGGTTAGAAAAAATGTGTGTAGGGTAGAAAGTAGGTCTGCCTAAAAGCAACGGAAACATTACATTCCTATTCTTTTTTTTTTTTTTTTTTTTTCATTTGAACCATCACTAGGGCAAAGCTTAAAAAAAGCCTTGTTCCACTGCATTTTTAAGAAAGTAGAAATGCAAACTACCACACCATTAGCAGCCTAAACTGGAGATAGCACAAGATAACCAGGCTGAAGAAAAATATGACTGCAGGGGCTTGCTCTGTCCTGGCTTACATATACATGTATTCTTAGAATGAGGCCTAAGTTTTACCATCAATTGCAGAGGTGGAGGAAGCTTTGTAGCATAGTAGTAAGAGATTTGATGCAGCCATTACAGAACAATAGCTCCCTGTCGCCTTTTGTTGTTGTCAAGACTGTCTTTAGATAGCTCTATTTCCAGAAGTGTAAATAGAATACTGCAGCCCTATGAGCTACAAGGAAAATCATTATTATCAGTGGAAGGAACAAATGTCACTGGCTACTTAGGTGTGCAGCTATGCTGTAAATGAAATAATGTTTTGTGTGAGTCAAGGAACAGATAACCTTTTATTGAATACAATGCTATATCTGTGACTGATAGACCAGTGCTGTTAAGTTAAGAATACTTCCTTGGCTCAAAGTTCACAGACTAGACAGAGTGGTTCGAATAAGATAAGACCATTTAAACATATGTCAGTTACAAAATCAGGTGTAAGTGAACCATGTAACATATAAATATAAAATTAATATGTTTATGCATATAAATCACTGATTTGTCAGCCAATGATCTCATAAAAAAAAAAAAATGTAATGTGTGAGTCCAATCTCTCTAATCCATTCTCATGACTTATGTCACAGACTGGTCAACATTGTCATCAGTACCATAGATGCTGAAAATGTCTGGTAAACATCAAAAGCATACCACCACTTGTTGTGGACTGGCTCCATCTTACAATTGATCTAAGGTAGACTCTAGTGTTAGACAGCATAGATTCTCTATGATGTGTTATTTGAGGTATGTATGTAACTAAGAAAACACAATGATAACTGGAGTTCATATTTTGAAGGTTCATCAGTATGTGACCACAGTAAGCATTTGTTCATCAAATCAAAATGTCTTTCCAAGTATGTAGACAGCATTGAACACAAACATCATAAACAGGTTTTGACTCTCAGCATTCATAAGCTGTAGCATATCATCTACAATTTGTAGTCAGTTGCAGCTGTCTATCATCTTGTTGAGATATGACATTCTATGTGAGGTATTTAAAGTATGTTGACCCTGTGGATATAGCCTTAAGTATTTCTCTGGTTTGCCCATAGTACAGATGAAATAAATTTGAGAGACAGGTAAAATATAAATGAAGAAACGTTGATTCAAACTAACATACTAAACAGGATTTTCTACACTTGGATGTGCATGCTGCACAGTGCTGCTTGCTGTCACACTACATAAACTCTAATCATTACATATGCCAGCCATTTATGATGGCACAAAGCTTTCCAGTCATACAGCTTAGTTTCTTCTGCTTCTGTAAAATGACATTGTCCACAGCTAGTAATTATAATAGCCACCACATAAACTAAAGTTTGCTATTTAATTAATAGGCATCTCTACCCTATGAAATTGCATCATATCCTTTTTATAACTACACCCTTAATCTCTTTGGCAAGCTCTCAGCATATCTTAATTCATAGTCTTTCATGCCCCATAAATAAATAAATAAATAAACAAACAAACAAACAATAAAATTTGCTCTTGCAGTAAAATATATACTGAGCATTCTCTTCATCTTGCTATCTGGCACTGACCCATGGAATAATCACTTTTATTCTGTGCCATGCGCATGTCCTGGGTCAGACATTTGCCCATCCATCATTTTGGGAACTGGGTTTCTGGGAAGTAGGATTAGCAACAGAAGGCTGGTATAAAATGGCTTTCTGCAGTAACTGCTTATACCTTAACATTATGACAACAGAGTTTGAAGAGTTTTTAGGGAAGTATTACTTCCCTAATGTATTACATACTGGTAACAATGCACTTGTAACTATGCCAATCAGTGCATGCTCAGCTGTGTTCACCACTTACAGAGAGTAGCGTGTTAAATCAGAAAATAATATTTCTTATCCATATTTCCATCCTTATATAATGACATAATTTAAAACCTTGTCTACACACATATTTGTACTTACATGGCTATAAATAAAATTGTCAGACTTGTGGAAGCTGACAGTGCTTAGGATCAGTATGCAGTCAGTGCTAACTCATTTATAAGGTGTGAAAAAAACTGTTTCCCTTACTATGATTTCACAACCTCAAAGAGAAAAAGGAGGTTGGCCAGTAGTGTAAAATGGTGGTTTAAAATACTCTTTATTTTTCAGTATTAACACTTACATATTATATGTAGCCCAAAAAACTCTATTACACAACTGATATATTCAAAATTAAAAGCACAGCCTCATATTTAGGCATACAAAAAATCTGAACAGATTCATATACAATATATGCATTGCTTGGCTATTGCCACAGAAATTTCAGTGCTCACACACTGATCACATTCATATTTTATGGGATTACCATGTTGAAGTCAGCTCTGAGCAGTTTGTTTGCTTAGACAGAGAGTTATACATATTAGTAAAGCACTGTTATACACATTAGAAAAAGATACATTTGATGATGTGTATTCAGAAGACATCACCAGCAACCTACAGCACTGTTTAAATGATCATGGCAAACCACAATTCACACCTGAAAGGCATTGCTGTGGACTATATTTGCATAGCTGTGTTACACCTTACATAATGAAGTACTGTGCACTCAGGTCATGAATCACAAGGCAGATAAAAACTATTAAAAACAGACAGAACAAAAAGAACAACCTTCAGGACATTAATTGTCAATACTCACTCAGCTCACAGAAATGCCTGAGATTGCTATACCCAAGACAATTTAATCCTGAGTAGCAATCCAGTATCGAAGGAATGTGTGATGACACAAATAATCTATCCTCAGTTCTTACACTGTGTAATGCATTTGGTGAAATATTGTCAACTAAGTATATGTCTAACATCCATCCTTAAATGTGTTTCTGAAACCAAGCAGACATCTTTTGTCAATTCATGCTTAAAAGTTTGGACTTGTAGTGTCATTCACTATTACTGTCTTACTGTGTCTGAATGAAAACGATATTATAGGGTAGACTGAGGACTATGAATCTCCCATACAAGATACACAGGCCATCATCTGCTATATATGCACTGCTTTGAGGGTTGTTGTCCTTGGTTCACAGTGATGACAAATACAGCTTTTTAGGACCATTGAAATCTTTCTTAGAGAAAACCTATATTAGTCATGAATTGTCTTTCCAAAACATCTAGGATCCCCAGGAGAGCAAACTAGGTCTTTTGATCAAAGACAGCAGGCAGACATAGAAAAAACAGGGGAAGTGCATTTCCTTTTTTCATTTCTATAAGAATATAAGAAAAGGAATGAGAACACTTAGCTTCATAACTGCAAGTGCAAAGCCTATTTGATGGGTAGGGAAGGAAACAAAGATGATGACTGACACCACAGAAAATTTCATGTACCCACTACCTTGGTTACTGACATTGGAACAAAAAGACATATTATCGGGAACTCAGTGATAGCTTTGAAAGTATTATTGATTTCCAAGAGCTTGTTACACTTTGGAAAGTCCACTGAATTATATATTTGATGTCATATACTACTGGTCTGTCAAAAAGGCACCTCAGTAGAGTTGCTCTAAATCTGACCACAAATACATAGCGAACACACTAAATATATTCTACAATCGTAAATTGTTCAAGAAAGGATTAGTCAAACCATTATCATCCTGAATCTATGTGCAAAAACTTGTCACAGTTTAATGTTTTTACCCTTGTTTTTAGAAATTAGAACCCCATAGTTATCCATCACTTAAAGAACTCTGCTGTATGAGATATTGAAAGAGAAAGAAGCCTTTACCTATGTTAGTCTATATTACAGACAAGTATCTTTATTTCTGTATCTCAGTCCAGAAATATTTGATTTAATAGAAACACACTTATAACCTCTGGATGGATCATGTATCACTTTATTTTTTTATTTAAATTGATGTTGATGATTCAAATGTTCAAATTTCTGATCCCTCCCCCCTTTTATTTATTTTTTCCACTGTGCCTTGACATGTTTTCTGACTGATTGATACAATTTTTAATGTATTGTGATCTTGGTAGACAAGTGAGAAATGGTCTCTTAACTCTACAGATGAAGAAAATGAAATTTTGTTGTCCACCTCATTAATCATATATATTTTCACAGTCTATCACTGGGAAATGCAGCTTTTTGTCAATGATGTAAAGCTAGTACTTTCTCAAAAATACATCATATGCACATTAGAGGAACTTGGAATATATCTTTCACTAAATCTTGTTCATTGCCCAGTATTCCAACAGCTGAGCTCCAAGTTGTTCATTTCAGATTACTAAAGTCTCTGACATCCATTGGCACAGCCATCCTTTAACTTTTATAAAAATTTTGTGGCACAGCCAGCACTAACCATCATAGACTTCACGTTTGCATCTCATGGCTATTCCATTGGTCATAATGTAACAGCAAAGAGCCACCATTTTTGATGCCAACCCTTGCACACTATTTACATCCATGGTTTATGTTGTCTGTGAGAGGTGGGAAGTCTAGAAAGCTGCTATTTTGAGAGTATTAGTACTACTTGCAGTGGTACCAATTCTTGTCTTTTCTCTTCCATCTTTGCATTCTTATGCCTGTAATTTATGCCATTGCTACTCCCACAATAACTGTAGGACCAGACCCTCCTCTACACCAAGTCAGTTCGTATACAGACATCAACAACCATTAAATTATTACTCTGGCATAATAGACTAACACCATTGCATGGCTGAAAGTTTTCCTATGCACTGTTTTCTGAATGATCCTAATTTTTAGGTATCATAAACAGTGTATTTATGAAGAGCTCTACCTGTCATCTGCTAGCGTAGGCTGGGAATTAGATTCGTTATGCAGTTCATTCACAGCCTGCAGTGAAAGGTGCAAGTGTTTGACTTCTGCAGGTTTACTGTACATGGTGTATTCCTACATGCTCAGAAGATGTTTAAGGAAGGTTATGTGTGCTCTTTGCCAGTTCTGTGGTTGGTACTGTTAGTGATTAAAGCGTGTATGGCTGATTTTGTTTGTGTGTAGTCAATCAGTTTGATATGTTTATGTACAAGAAGGGTACATGTCTTTTTTTTTTTTTTTCCTACTACATACACATTCTTGTTTCCATTACTTTCCAAATAACATTCACTTTTTTTTTTTTTTCACTCCAAGTGCTGTAATCTTTTATCTGTCAGAACATGATTTATTTTATTATTTTTTTTTAGTCCTGTTTTTTGGGTGTGCTTTGTGATTTTAGAAGCTGATTCTAATTTCCATGTAGTTGCCATTCTTTCCTCCACCTAATTCCCTGTAATTAGAGTAGAAATTAGTCTGGTTCCAATACATTAGCTAGAATCTGCTACAATTATGAGTCTCTTCCCACACCATGAAATCCTTGTTTATCCTCCACCTCTGAGAAAGAAGAAACAAACTTTTCATCTTTTTTCGTGTTTTTCATGATTTTGGTACAGTTTCTAGGATATCTCTGAAAGTGGTTTTATGCATAACATGTAAAACCCATACATTCTTAAACACCAACTCTTTTCAAGCTCTACTTCTTGAACCATCCAACAGTTGCTCACTTAATTTACAAGGCCTGACAAATAACGCAGAATATAGATGTAATGATTTCTCTGTGTCATGCAAATTTCTTATCTTTATTTTCTTTTCTCAGCATAGCCCCATGCATTTCATGCCCATGTTTGGCTCATTAGAATGTATGTTAGTAACAAAATAACTGGAGCTTTTTTTTTTTTTCTGCAACTAAATGTCATTTTATTATTGTTATTTTATTTTATTTTATTTTATTTTATTTTATTTTATTTTATTGGCTCACACAGCATTCTATACAGTAACCTTTTTATAACTGACATATGTTATTCCTTCAGGTAGCTTTTACTGACAAACACAAAGTTTGTTTGTGTGCAAATGCAAGGCTGACTAAATGGTGCTAAAGTGTATTATGACTGTCAGATATAATCAGGCTAAATTTTGTGGTGCTTAGACTGATTTTTTTCATTGATTTTATTGATCAATGCATTGAACAGTGTTTTATTATACACAAGTTGTCTTTTATTAGTAAATCAAGACCTCATAGTGCATTGTTAAACAAAATGGGTTAACTAATCTATGTAACAGTTCACCAAGCTATTATCTCTTTAACTCCTTATAACGTTGTGTCATTAAAGGTCAAGGGGTCATGATAATAATCTCATTGCTGTAGACCATTAACATGACTGAACATTTTCAACAAAGTACTTATGTTTACAATGCTATAACCCTTTGACTGCTGCGGCAACCTTTAACCACAGAAAGTCACATGCTAGAATCATCATTAGGGTTCTTGCCATGGCAATCAAAGAGTTAAGGGCTGTGCAGTGATTTGTTTTATATTTATTAATTTATATTTATTTTTTTTTTCATTTGAGAAGGGGGGAATTGGGGTGGGGCAGTTCTTGTCTGCTGTAAGTGTCTTAACCAAGGGAAGGGTTAAAATGGCTTTTTATACTATTGCATCTTATGTACTTACCATCGTTTCATTGTGTTGTAATTAAAAAAAAAAAAAAATCTGTCAATAAATAAGAGAACAGAAAAAAAGTTTCCTAAAGGCATTGTGGTTTGCTTGGTACATATTACCATAAGATTTATAGTTGCTGTTCTTTAGATGCTGTATAACATTACAGCCAACTTTCGCCTCAGAAAATGAATAAATAACAGATACTGACAATATAGAGGTATTATGGATATATCTGGGTATAAAAAAAGGCAAAAGAAGAATTAGTTAATTTTTCAAATCAAAATAGAGTAGAATCTCTAGATTCTTTAGAATAAATAGAGTTTATTCTAAACTCTAATTCTCCTATAGAATTTATAGGAGAAAGGTGGAGTGCCTAGCTTTGTACCTACTTCTGTAATATTTGAAGCACCATTCATTAGACTTTACTGATGCAGACACTATAAAAAAAATGATGAACAAGTGGCTAAATTTCTTCCCTTTTTTGTGAGCAAAAAAAATAATAAAAAAAATAAAAAAAAATAATTATAGTGTCAGTAAAAGGTGAGTCTAATCATTCAGCCTGGAAATTAGCTTCCGTGTAGCTTTGTCTGCAGGTGATTGACATAAACACCAGTTCTGAATGGAAGGGTTTAGGGAGTGTCTTAAATACCTTAGCATCTTAAGTTCAAGGAAGTGTTTGGTTTCTGAAAGAGAAGAATTAAAAAAACTTCCAAGCTGATCCATGTCTAAGTTATACCATTCACTTCATAGGTGAATATGCTGCAAAATGCAGAAGATGTTTACTTATTAGTAAACATCTAGCAATCATAATTAGCACAAGAGAAATTTGATATGACAATTCAGTCTGTTTCAGACCTATTCTCACAATTATTTGGCAGGTAATTCATTTTTTGTTTTAATGTTTGGGACCAAATTCAGAATTTAGTTTCCAGGAATTATTCTCTTCCAAAAAATCTTTTCAAAGAGGAAACACAATCAATACTGGTTTAACCAATTAAACAAAATTAACTATGAATAACAAATATTTCTAGTCACTGCTTGCCAACCACTCTCATATTACATGTTTGAGTTACTATAGTGAATAAAATCAACTGAACATCTGGATACCAATAACTGACAATGGAATTAAAACTTATGAATATATTATTTATGACATTCTTCAGTTCAACACAATATCTGGTGGCATGGCAAAAACTTGTTTTCTGCTCAAAATAAGCTAAGGATAAAGGAAATTAGTGTTTTACAGATCACCTAGCAAGTCAAATGGCAAAACACTGGGTGCTTACCAATCATGAGGACTGAAATTTAATGAATATTAGTCAATCCTAAAACTTACAAAACATGTAAGTCAAACTTCTTTTTCTCCATGTATATTGCCAGTTCACTGCTGCACAAGTGAAAATGGGTTTGTATTAGAAGTAGAATTCTGCAAGGCTATAATGCACATTTGAATTGTGCTTCAATAGGAAAAGAAACTAGACTCTGATCAATGTCAAACCAAAGTCCATTTGAGTTGCTTTCAGCCCCAGAGGACATAAACTATTATCCTCTATACAAACATTCAGGATGCATAGGACTTTTTACAACACTTAAGCATTTTTACTTCCATAAAGAGTAAGAAAATCAGGCATAGTCAGCATGGATTCACCAAAGGGAAGTCATGTTTGACCAACATGATAATCTTCTGTGATGAATTGACGAGCTAGGGAGCTGTGGGGAGAGCTGTGGATATTGCCTACCTGGACTTCAGTAAGACTGTTGACACTGTCCCCCATAAGATCCCCACAGGTGTATGAGCTGCATGGGCAGACAGGGAAGTGGATCAAAAACTGACTGAATAGCCAGGCCTAAATTGCAGCAGTCAGTGGTACAGTCTAGTTGGAGGCCAGTAAAAGAGCAGAATACCCCGGGGACAATACTGGGCCCAATCCTGTTCAAAAACTTCATTAATGATCTGGAGAATGGGGCAGAGTGTAGCCTCAGCAAGTTTGGAGATGACACAAAACTGGGAGGAATGGCTGATGGAGAGTCTTGCTGCCATCCAGAGGGACATGGACATGCTGGAAAGATGTGCCAACAGGTACTTCATGAAGCTCAACAAGAAGTGCAAAGCCCTGCACCTGGGAAAGAACAAGCCTGGTCACTGGTACAGGCTGCAGGCCACCCAGATGGAATACAGAAAAGGACCTGGGGGTCCTGGTGGACACCAATTAAAACATGAAGTAGCAACGTGCCCTTTCCTCTAAGAAGGCTAACAATATTCTTGGCTGCATTAGGCAAGGTGTCACCAGCATTAGGCAGTGTCACAAGAGAGGTGATCCTTCCCATCTGCTGAGCCCTGGTGAGGCCACAACTGGAATGAAGAGGCTCAGGGAGGATCTTATCCATGTCTATAAATATCTGAAGGGAGAGTACCAAAAGGACAAAGCCAGGCTCTTTTCAGTGGTGGTCAGAGACAGGACAAGAGGCAATGGGCACAAACTGGAACACAGAAGTTTCCCTCTGAACATTAGGAAGCAGGTCTTTTCTGTGTGAATGATGGAATATCTCCTTGGAGATATTCAAAAGCTGTCTGGACAGGGTCCTAGGCAACCTGCTGTAGGTATCCAGGCTTGAGTAGGTGGTTGGACCAGGTGACCTCCAGAGCTCTCTTCCAACCTCAGATATTTTGTGATTCTGTGATTCTGTTTCATTATTTGTCACATGAAAAGCAACATACAGACTTTCACTTAAGTGCCTCCTTCCTTCATGAAATTCCTTTTTTGTTTGTTTGTTTGTTTTTGTTTTTCTGATCTAAAATGTTCAAGTTATAATTCAGGAGAATCAGAGTGGAAAAGTTGCAAAAGCAAAGCAACATCCAACAACAATTACAAAAATTATTTGAAGAACCAATATTTTCAAATATGTTTTTGCATTAGTATTTAATTTCTGGAGAGTGTCCAAGCTGAAATAAGTATTGTTTCTACCACACTGGCAACGTTCAATATATTGATGTGAAGTTTGGTTTGCAACTCATTTATCCCTTCACAAGTCACTGCAAGAAACAACTCCTAAAGAGAATGCTTAATTGCCCAGATGTTTGTATGAAATTACTGTCATTAATCTCTGTATTGATTATCTTTCTTTTCTCTTCCAGGATTCTTCTATTTTTATATATTCCCCTGCAGTGACATGCAGAGGCATCCTTGTTATCTATGACTTGCTCACTTGCTGTCTAATTGCATGCTAAGAAATGTATTGTGCAGTACTTTTGTGTTATGGTTCACAGACATTTTTTGCTTTGATTTTCAGCATTAGACATTCTTACCATGACATTTGACAAGTGTGGCTGCAGCCTCCTGGTTTCTACACTGAGATCCTGTTACCTTGTCACACTGACCAGTTTCCTGCTGCATGTCTTTGCTCATGTTTTCATTATAGCAATACATTCAGGTTGAAAAGATACTGAAGTGGTGCTTTTTGTTGCTGTTGTTTTTTATTATTTTTTCTTGTTGTTCATTTGTAAGAAAATACTATATTATCTGTGAAGGACTCTATCTACTTTTACAAAGAAGATACAGGGTATCTCAATACTATACTACCCAAATCTCTCCCAGGTCCCATTTCACTGACTGTCCACATTGTGCGTGAATTGTGGTTTCTCTTTTGGAGTGCACTAGCTAGGTCTTTTAGAAATAAAAAGTATTTTCTTTTCAAAACAGCTATTCCAGAAACTACTCTGGCCTACTGAACAAGACAGCATCATCCCATTGATATCATCCCAGCAGGCATAAAACTTTCAAACATAAGGCATCTTCTGAAAATACTTCAATTCAAAAAGAATCAGAATCTCTTGGTTCAGAAATTAAAAAAAAAAAAAAAAAGTTTCTAAGACTTCTTCGGATATAACCATATAACCGACACCTGGTCATGCACTTTTTAAACTTTGAACCATAGAAAACTCTGAGTTAAAGCAAATTTAGACCTTCACCAAGGTCAGTCTAGCCTTTCAGAAGATCATGTTTAGAATAGAGGAACTTAAATGCCCCTCACAAGTCTAGGAGAGGGGACGACTACCAGCTTATATCCCCTAATCTGTGCATAAAGTAAGTACATTGACACTTTATTCAACTATATTTGTGCCCTAGATGGTGGCCTTCAGAAGCTGTTTCCTCTCTACATTTAATAGACAGCAAAATCTGTGAGTTAATTTAAGAAGGCAGTTTCTCTTGGTAAGACGTGCAAGTTAAATAAATTGTAACCCTGTCATTCTTCAACTAGAAGAACGTAGATGCAGACAGTAGCAAAAGATGCTGGAAAGTAATGTTCAGAGATGCTACACAATTAAAGGAAATAATATGTATGTCAGAACTGTCAAGGATATGTGTACAGAGAAAAGAACAAAGGAAACTGGAAAGGAAGCTCAGCATAAGTTTCTTCATATTTAAATATTTGATGTGCTTGCCTGCTTGGCAGTACTATAATTGTATACTACCACTGGACAATAATGAGGCAATGATAGAACCAGAGTCTCTGTCCTGCTTTCAGCTGGGATGGAGTTAATTTTCTTCCTAGTAGCTGGTATGGTGCTGTGTTTTGGATTTAGGATGAGAATAATGTTGATAACATGCTGATGTTTCAGTTTCTGCGAAGCAGTGACTTTTCAGCTTCTCATACTGCCCTGCTACCAAGGAGCCTGGGGGTGCACAAGGAGTTGGGAGGGGACAGAGACAGGACAACTGACCCAAACTGTCCAAAGGGATATCTCATATTTTATGGCATCATGAGGAACAATAAAGATGGGCAAGTTGACCAGGGGGTGGGCGGTCACTACTTGGGGACTAGCTGGGCATTAGTCAGTGGTGAGCAATCTCACTGTGCATCACTTGCTTTGTTTATTCTGTTTATTTATTTATTTATTTATTTATTTTCCCAATTCTTTCCCCCTTCCCATTGGGTGCAGGGAGGGAAGGTGTGAATGGCTGTGTGGTGCTTGGATGCCTGCCCAGTTAAACCACAATAGTCCTTTTCAGGTCCAGTGTGGGGCATGAAGGGGTGGCGTAATGAGAGATCTGACAAGAGAACATAAAAAAAAAAAAAAATGTTATAAGCATGATATCCATTTAATAGTTGCTGGTAACAATGTTGATTTTTTTTTTTTCCTTAGAGTTGTTGTGCTTGTTCTCAGAGTTGTGCTGAGTTACACATTACTTGCTGTATGTGTTTCCTGTTGTACCGTTAATCATCTCTGGGGGCTGGTTTAAGGTTATCATTTTGCTGTACTGCGTAACACCGGCTTATGAATGTGGTATTTGTACTCAGCATTGCTGTCATTTCATACTTGGGGAACCATCTCTCAGAAACTATTAATAAATTGCACTCTTTGCCTTTTCTCCTCAGGGAGACAATATATGGGGGAGATGAAGAGCAACACTTTCTCCCACTTCTTCACCCTCTTTTTTTCTTCCACCTCTCCATTCTCCTCCAGGCTAGTTACAACACCTCTTGAGAATTTTGAATATCCTTGGGATGTTCAAACAAGTGTGTTCCTATTGCTCTGTCCCCTGAATGTGTTTCAGGTTTTATTTTATTTTATTTTATTTTATTTTATTTTATTTTATTTTATTTTATTTATTATTTTATTTTATTTATTTATTTTAATGTTAAACAACTATTTAAGAATGCCACCCAAAGATCTTCCCTAAGGCAGAATAGCTATGAGTGGCAGGGAGTGTGGGAGGATACGGGCAGGAACCTAGAACAGTGGGCACTTCCAATAATTTGAAACTTCACCCCCCCAAAAAATGCAGAATAATGAAAAAAATAGTAAAATATTTGAAAAAGTTACGCCATCACCCTGGCAATTCCAGATACACAATTCACTGCAATGTGTTAGGGTTTGGCCTATGCCTACTGAGCAGTACTCAACACTAATGCAGCTCTTGTGACAGGTCATGCAACCACTCCAACCCCCATACCAGGCCCTGAAGCAACTCTAACTGCTGTGACAGGCACTGCTGCTGGACCAGAGAACCAACCCGTGCTGGTATCAGTCACCCCTATACACAAGGGTTAATTCCCTACTAAGAAGCGGAAAGAGAAAGAGGAGGAGGCAGGCCATTTAGAAGCAGGGCCATCATGGGAACAGGAGGAGGAAGAGGCAGATCTCATACATGTAACAGTCACCACTTGATCCCTTATCCCAGGGTAAGCTGTGAGATATGTGACATTCAAATGTTGTCCAGATGAGCACACTGTCACATGGCTTCTCCGATGCTGGGATAATGAGACCAATAGCCTGGAATTAGAGGGCAGGAAAGCTAAGGAACTGGGATCCCTCTCTAGGGAAGGGGGCATTGACAACGTGATTGGAAAAGGGCCACAAGCCCTCAGCCTCTGAAAGTAACTCGTGTCAGGTGTGAAGGAAAGGTGTCCCTTCAAAGATGTTATATGTCACACAGGCAAGTGGACAACTACAGAAAGAGGTATACAGTACCTGAGGGAATTAACTGTTCTGGAGGTGGTGTTATGGTGACCTAGACAATGACCTGATAGATACCCAAAAATCCAGATGAATTCAAGTACATGCTACATTTGTGGCAGAAATTTGTACGAAACACACTGTCACATGCCAACTCATTAGCAGTAATGACTTGGAAAGACTAAGAGGAACAAATAATGGATGAATTGGCTGTCCAACTCCGGCAGTACAAAGAAAGTCTCTTTTCCCCCTAGGGGCTTGCATCTTTCCCAAGAGGTCCAGCAACTCAAAGAAAATATATCTTCCACCCCAGCTGTACAAACTAGTATCTCAGCTATTCAAAGTGTTCCACTGTTATAGAGAGGATATAGTGGATACATACCATGTGCCACCTTGTGGTTTCGCGCATGTGATCATGAGGAAGACATGCAGAAGTGAGATAGGAAATCTACCTTGACCATAAAGGCACAAGCACATGAGTTGCAAGGAAAAACAATCACAAAAGGCAGTTCTTCCAGGAAAATTAATGCTCCAGTTTCTGGTTGGCAGTTCCCTAGACAGAATAGAAGGGTCAGTCTTACTTTTGATCTTAACAAAAGGACTTCTGATTTTCATTTACAAGAAGTGACTAATGAATATTATGACCAGGACTAGAGGGGCTCCAACCAGGTGGAGGAAAAGGACAACAGGGTTTTTTGGACAGAATGGATCAATGGCCTGGCACATCAGACCCACAGAAAAACAAGGCTCCAGTGGACACCAGTGTATAGTGTACCCTAATGCCATCAAGCTGTAAAGGAACAGAACGCATCTGCATTTCTGGAGTAGCAGTGGGATCCCAACAATTGGAGGCTGAAATGAGCCTAACTGTGAATGAGTGGCAAAAAAAAAAAAAAAAAAAAAAAAAAAAAAAACACACAAAAACATCCTTAGCATAGACTAGCTCAGGGGAGGGTATTTCAAGGAGCCAAAAGGAGAGCCTTTGAACACTACAAATAGTATAGAGAAGACACATTCATTGAGCTATCCTGCATGTACATCAACTAGCAGACTAGGACGTATGTGAGAGCAAAAAGAGGCTTTGCAAGGGCAGCGTTGCTGAATGCCCTCTGACTGTAATGTTGAATGCCCCTTACAGCTTTTATGCATTCAACTGTGAGTACAGTGCTTTGCTCATATGCAGGGTTATGTTACATATAGCACAAGCTCTTATCTTGCTGAGAAATGTTACTGTACTGTGTACTCAGGTCTCTAAGAAGAAGAGGGAACAGACAAATGAGGGCACAGAGCACACTACCAGTGTAATAAAAAGATGGAAGCAGGAGAAAGATAAACATTCTATGAGAAATGAGAAATGCCGTAAAGAAGAAAGGGTTTAGAAAGGATAGTTTTGAGCTTTACTTTATAGGATATGGAAATTAATTTAGACAGTGGAACTTCAATTTACCTTTCAGAGAAATCTGGGCCATGCATGTTTTTTCTAGTTGTGTTACTTATTAAATCCAGGTACAATAGGTAGTTAAAGAGGAAGCAGCAAAATAAATCCAGATAAGCTGTACTGGAAAAGTATAAAATGCTTCAATGTGAGATGATTTCTCAAATCCTTTGATATGAAACGAACATTGCCTAATGCCATAAAGTCCTAATGACCTTTGAAAATGCAAACGGGGAATTGTAATCTCATTTAAATGTTAATTAAAAGAATTGAACTTAAGTGGTTCAGAGAGACAAGAAATTTAAAGTTCTGAAGATTAAATTATTCCTTTGATGGGCCAGGCTGCATGGTGTTGTGCAGTACGTATGCCTCTGTTGATGTGAGCTGCTGGAACAATTCCTTGAGGGACAAAAGCTTTATTCTAACCTCTCCCACCTCTCTCCAAATTATACTGGCACAGTCATACACGCTTGTTTATCTCAGAAGCTGCATGGCTCATGCAGAGATTCCTTCTTTATACATAAAAGTAATTATTTTAGCACTGGTAAT